TCATATTCTGTAGATCTCTGATGAAATCAACAGAGGAGACTGGAAAAAACTGCCTGGCCATTCTCTAGGAGTCAGTTTAAATACCCTGTAGGCACAGTCTTGAGTAGCTCTGGGGAGGAGCCGCTACTTCGCAGGCTTTCTGAGAGGAGGCAGGATTTGGAATGGGGGAGAGTGAAGCTGGAGCAGAGCTTCCAACTTAAACAGGCATCATGTTTTTAAAATTATTTCCTGCTCTCTGGGGTGGGGGGTGACAGCATCTCTAGGAGACCCTGAGAAAATTGAGATAATGGTCAAGTCCTGGAAGAGCTGGCTGTATCATTTATTGCCAGTCTATGCCAGACATATGCTGGATCACTGTCAGTCTTAATTTGCACAATTATCCTCATGATGGCCATAACTTCTAATAAATGTGTAATCAGCCTTTTCAGAACTCAGAGCAGTTGCCCGTTAAAATCCTGAATATGGTGTACATATTTTAATTTTCCAAACTCTGCAAAATGAAACACATCTATTTGTCAAATTTCATTTCTTTGAGTACCCTTTGGATTACTTCCTGTGGGTAGTGGAGTTTGGTTATACAAAGAACAAGTAGGATGTGGTGTGGCAGTGGCCCAGAGGAGGGGGTCCAGTGGAAGCCCAAAACCCACAGGGAAAAGGAGCCAGCCATCTGAAAAGCGGACACAGGGGACTGTGTGGAAAAAGCATGTGTATCGGGAGCTGCCTGAATGCAGAGCTGGCCAGTCAGGGATGGCTAACTCTCTTTGGAACCCAGGCACCTGTGGGGTTTGGGCGGCAGCAGGAGACTGTTGTAGGGTGGCTGAAACAGGAAAACCCCAGACTTGCTCAGAGGGCCTGGGGCAAGAAAGGAAAAGCCAGCCGAGGTGGCTGTGGCTCCTACAGCTCTGGCTGCTGCAAAGCCAGGGTTGAGAGGCTATCTCAGTGGGGGATCGTCTAGAGAAGGTTGGCTTGTGGGCACGTCCTGAGGGGAGGTTATCTCAGTCGTGTTGAGATTGAAAGACCTGCCCACTATGGGCAGCATCATTCCGTAGATGGGATCCCGAGCTGTGTAAGAGTAGATGATGTGAACTGAACACAGGTGTGCATTAATGCATTGCTGTTGACCGTGGTGCGATGTGATCAGCTATCTCAAGCCCCTGGCGTGTGACCGCACCTCAGTGATGGAGTGTACCCTGGAACTGTGTGCGAAACAAACCCTTGCTTTCCCAAACTGCTTTTGTCGAGATGCTTTATCACAGCAACAGAAAAGAAACCGAGGCAAGCGGCTTGTAAGCTTGCCTCGGCCTGTTGAACTGCCTCACTGGCCTCTTTCTCTCCTTCCTTCCTTCCTTCCTTCCTTCCTTCCTTCCTTCTTCTTTCTTTCTTTCTTTCTTTCTTTCTTTCTTTCTTTCTTTCTTTCTTTCATATTTCAGCAGGGTCTCACTATGCAACTGAAAAACTCCTACCTCTGCCTCCTAATCCAGGTATTCACTCCATACCCAGCTTATAAAATGACATCTTTTTACCCATCACCAAACAACACCCCAAAAGGGTGGGAAAGAGAGGGATGAAAGAATAGGTACAATATCATCAGTTGACAAGGAATATTTTTATTTATTTTTTTATTTTTTGGTTTTTTTCAGGACAGGGTTTCTCTGTGTAGCTTTGCGCCTTTCCTGGTACTCGCTTTGGAGACCAGGCTGGCCTCGAACTCACAGAGATCCGCCTGCCTCTGCCTCCCGAGTGCTGGGATTAAAGGCATGCGCCACCACCGCCCAGCCTTGACAGGGAATATAAATTAACACCACAATGACACCCACTTAACCATTCATTAAAATGCTTCCTACATGCCGGGCGGTGGTGGCGCACGCCTTTAATCCCAGCACTCGGGAGGCAGAGCCAGGTGGATCTCTGTGAGTTCGAGGCCAGCCTGGGCTACCAAGTGAGTCCCAGGAAAGGCGCAAAGCTACACAGAGAAACCCTGTCTCGAAAAACCAAAAAAAAAAAAAAAAAAAAAAAAAAAAAAAAAAATGCTTCCTACATGCTGGGCAGTGGAGGCACACACCTTTAATCCCAGCACTTGGGAGGCAGAGCCAGGTGGATCTCTGTGAGTTCGAGGCCAGCCTGGTCTACAGACTGAGAGCCAAGACAAGCACCAAAACTACACAGAGAAACCCTGTCTTGAAAAACCAAAATAAATAATAAATAAATAAAATAAAATGCTTCCTACAAAATGAAAAAAGTTGCTAAGGATACAAACCGCTGGAACCCTCAAACCTCATTGGTTGGAGTATAAACTAGTACAACCATTTGGGACAGATGTTTGTTGTAGTTACTTAGATAAATATCAAGCCTACTTTATGCCCAGAAATCCCCATCCCCTCGTCATTTACGCAACAGAAGTGAGTTACACAAAAACATGCATTCACCAGGCAGTGGTGGATCCCTGTGAGTTCGGGGCCAGCCTGGAGTACCGAGTAAGTTCTGGGACAGCCAGGGCTGTTACACAGAGAAAATGTCTAAACCAAACCAAACCAAACCATGTCTTCAGGAATATTCACAGGGGCCAGTGAGATGGGAAGAGGTTGGAAGCACTTGCCATGCAAGCTTGCAGACCCGAGTTTGATCCCCAGAATCCACAGTGGAAAGAGAGAGCTGAGTCCCAGAAGTTTATCCTCTGACTTTCACATGCACACTGTGGCATGTACCCGTATGTTTTCACACACTTCACACACACACACACACACACACACACACACACACACACACACAATCAAATCAATAAAGTTACAAAAAAAAAAAAAAAAAAACTATTCACAGTGTTCCCAAACTGTAAGTTCATCCAAATGCTCATTACTAGGGAAATAATAAAAATAAAGATATGTGTGATTACCTTAGGTTCAAGGTCAGCTCCAGCTACACAGCAAGACCTTGTCTCATAAAAACACCCACCACAGCACCCACAGAAGGGACAGAGAAGTGAAAGGTGCACTATCCATGCAAAGACCTACACATTTGATGAGCACACCGTGGATGGATCCACGAAACCATGTGTGAGCTAGAGGAGACAGACACAAAGGAGATGTTGTTATGTAGCACCCTGTGGGGTTCAAACATAGACAAAGCTGGTCTGTGTCAGGATGGTGTTCACTGGAGGGGGAGGCTGCAGGCTGACACGAAGGGACCTTTGGGGGCTGGTCCAATAGGGGTGTACATGAAATGTGGAACTAAATGATTATGACTTGTAACCATTTTGCGAGCCTTATTTGAAGCGGCATATATGATGCAGAATTATTACACATTTGTTGATGGGGAAAGGGCCATCAGTACTTCTCAACAGGTAAGGGCATCTCTGTCATACCTGAGTCCCTGCTTCAGTCCATGAGACTCAGGGTGGAAGAAGAGAACTGACCTCCACGAGTGGACGGTGGGGAACGTGCACACACACAAATAAATACATGTAATTTAATTTTTTTTTAAAGAGAGGCATTTGTTTGTTTGTTTGATATAGGATCTCTCTATGTAGTCCTGATTGTCCTGGAGCTTTCGAAGTAGACCAGGCTGGCCTCAGAATCATAGACATCCTCCTGCCTCTGCCTCCCCAGTGCCAGGATTATAAAGGTGTGCACCACACCCAGCTGCATATGTTTTTGAAAGTTATATTTTAGCTGGGCAGTGGTGGTAGCATATGCCTTTTATCCCAGCACTCAGGAGGTAGAGGCAGGTGGAGCTCTGTGAGTTCAAGGACAGCCTGGTCTACAGAGTGAGTTCCAGGAAGGTCAAAGTTGTTAACACAGAGAAACATGTCTCAAAAAAAAAAAAAAAAAAAAAAAATGTGACTGGAGAGATGGCTCAGTGGTTAAGAGCACTGACTGCTCTTTCAGAGAACCCAAGTTTGACGCCCAGCATTCACATTACGTCGCTCATAACTGCCTGTAACTCCAGCTCCAGGGGATTTGCCTCAGATACCAGTACTCACATGCATATACCCACACACAGACATACACATAGTAAAAATAATAACTTTTAGAAAGAAAAGCTGTAATATATGTGGTGTGATGTGTGTGTGTGTGTGTGTTATATGTATGAAATCCGTAAGAAGTGGACCACTCAGGGATTAAGCTGACTGTGGAAGTCCCAGTCTCCAGTTCTCTGCCATCCCTGTTTCTCTCCAGACTGTACGTGACCCCAAACAGCCAGCCCTGATGAAGTCAAGGCAAAGCAAGCGTCCCTTAATTCCCGGGTGTACGTGCTCTTTGTCCCTCTGTTCTATTTAGACCCAAGACTAATATTTACCTTGTAAACAGGAAGTGGGGGAGGGTGAGAAGCAGGTCCAGAGCTGCTGTTCCAATTAGAAACCTCCAGAGGCTGGCCCAGTGCAGACAGGTTGGGAGGGAAGGGGCTGTGTCTGGGAGAGTCGTGGGCCAGCACCTGTTCTGGGGCAGGAGATGGGAGAAGACAGCTAGAGGCCACAGGACTTGGCTCCTCCCTTAGAGAAGAGGAGTCACCCCCCCACCCCCCACCCCTGCTGAGAGCTGCCCTGTCTCATGGTTACCCCAGCGCAACGAGGGGAGCTTTCACCTGGGCACACCCATCTCTGTTCCTTATGTCTGTGCACACATGTGCAAGTCTGTAGGCGCTCCACATTGATAGCCTCCCCTAGTTCTCACAGCAAAGTGTTATGCCCAGATGAGGGAGCTGTGGTCAGTGGAAATGGAGAGTTCTGGAAGGACTCATTGATCCACATTCACTCACTTAATAAATGGTGGAAGAGGTTGGATGACGGTCTTTTCAATATGATTTCCTCACGAAGAACATCCATCCCTGGTTCTGGGAGAACTTGTCCTCTTGGATGGCGGGGGTGGACCCTAGGACTATCTACCCATTTGTCCCCAAGGCCCTGACCCCCTGACCTCTCCCTTGCCACTGATTTCTTCACGTTGGTTCAACATTAACCCAGAGAGAGTCAGGACAATCTCTCAGATCCCAGGAGCTGACACACTATGTTGCGCGTCGGAGGCCTGGGGCTACCTGGCTGCCTGGCTCTGGCTGCCCTGGTTGGCCTGGTACACAGCCAGCATGGTAAGGGGCCCTTGGGGGGCCCGGGCATGATGGAAGATGTGGGATAGGCCTGTGGGTTGGGGTGTCCTGGCTAAGACCAGAGAACACAGGGACAGTCCCCAGTTGGACCTCAGACCACAGTGTCCAGATTGAAGAAGGCGTCAGGTGCATGGGGCAGGAGGCGGATGCCTCTTCTCTCTTCCAGAATGGCGAGTGGGCTGGGACAATCCATAAAAAGTGGGTAACGCACAGGCTATGTTCAGTGGCCTTCTGGGTACTTCTGCAACCCCTGTGCCCCGTCATGGAAGCCAGCTGGGTAGGCCAGGCTTGCTTCCCTAATGGCTAGCCCTTAACGGCTAAGATAGCCAGGGTTTCCAGAGGCGATTTCCTATTGCCCACCCCACCCCCCCAACACCCCCTTGCAGTGTTCCTGGCCCCTCAGCAAGCGCTGTCGCTGCTCCAGCGGGTGCGGAGGGCCAACAGCGGCTTACTGGAGGAGCTAAGGAAGGGCAACCTGGAGCGGGAGTGCGTGGAGGAGCAGTGCAGTTATGAGGAGGCCTTCGAGGCCCTGGAGTCGCTCAGCGACACGGTGAGCGGCTGCTGGGAGGAGGGGCAGGCGGGGGAGGGACCCGGGGACGCAAGCAGGAGACACCTGGCTCTTCCCCGGTTCACACTTTCACTTCCATTCTGACCCCCAATCTCATCGGGCTGCAAGATGGGTGCCCCAAATCTGTCTTGGCGACTGGAGGCCTGGGCTGTCACAGGAAGGCTCAGGACACCGGGGGACCTCTGCAGCTTCAGCAGTCGGCTACACTGAGGCTGTCTGGGTTGCCTGGTGCCTGCTTAAGCCCTTCTGCCATTTCTGGGTTCCCTTGGGGGTGTACCCACTGGTCCTGGGGCTCCGTGGCAGCCCATTTCTCCTGTCTTCTCCAGCCCGGAGGAGACCTCGTTCAGTCACGTGTGCTGGGGGTCTCTCTCTCTCTCTCTCTCTCTCTCTCTCTCTCTCTCTCTCTCTCTCTCTCTCTCTCTCTCTCTCTCTTCACATTCTCTCCTTCTGGAAGCCAAAGTAAGGAGCTAAAGGCAGGCTGCGGTGTGAGGGAAGGACGTAATGCCTGCTGACGGAGCAGAGCTCCGTCCTGCTGGCTCTCACCCCCAGCCCTTGCTTTGCAGGACGTGTTCTGGGCCAAGTACAGAGGTGAGTGGTCAACGGGGTTTGCCCCCCGGAAGGGAGGCTGGGGGACTCTAGCTAGAGACTACCCTTTCCTCCAGAATTTCCTGCTGCATAACATCCCCCTGCCCCCACGCTCTCCCCTCCCACCTCTCGTCCGTTATCCCTGCTTCCCTCATCATCATCCCCACAGCAACGTCAAAGGTGTTTCTGATTTCTTTTTTTCCAGCTTGTGATTCAGTGAGGAAAGCTCGAGACACTTTCATGGAGTGTATGGAAGGTGAGGGGCAGGCTTCGGGGTGAACGGGAGGTGGAGAAGCCTGGGAGGAAAGGAAAATTAGTGGCTGGTCAGGAGCCACGGCTGAAGTGGTGTCTCCAGCGCCTGACAGTGCCTCTTTGTTCTGTGGTCAAGGACGTCTTTGCATGTGGCTTTGTGTCTGGCAGTCAGCCGGACTGTTGGAGGGACGAATGGATAGTTAATTAGTATTGGGGGCCTCTGCCCACCCTCTGCCCACTCTTTGTCAGAGCTCTATCTTGTTACTTCATTCTCCAAAACTTTCTGTTTTGTTTTTGAGACGGGGACTCTGGTAGCCCAGGGTGGCTTTGAACTTGCTAGATGCTGAGGATGACACTGAACTGACCCTCCTGCTTCCCCCTCCCCGTGCTGGGGTTACAGGCACGTGCCGCTGTGGCCGGCTTTCATTCTCCAGTACTTCCAATGATTCCCCATTACCCACAGGCTCTCAGCCAGGGAAGCCTTGACTTTCTCTTCTAGACTCCCAAGCCCTCTTTCTGCTCTGAGAGCGAGTTGGTCAGGGTCCGTAAACATGTCAAGATGTCTCAGCCCTTGCCTACTTTGCTAGTTTCCGCTGGAGCGGCCAACACTCCCCACTGAAGACCCTGTCCTTCAGGGTCTTCTCAGAGCCCTCAGGGAGCAGCCTCCCTCCACAGCATTCTGGACGTGTCTTTAGTCTAACAATAGGCTCCACTATCGACAGGAAACTTCTTTTTTTTTTTTTTTTTGGTTTTTCGAGACAGGGTTTCTCTGTGTAGCTTTGCGCCTTTTCCTGGAACTCACTCTGTAGCCCAGGCTGGCCTCGAACTCACAGAAATCCGCCTGCCTCTGCCTCCCGAGTGCTGGGATTAAAAGTGGGCACCACCACCGCCTGGCAGACAGGAAACTTCTTATATACCACAGTTTCCTTCCTTCCTTTTCTCCCTCCTTCCCCTCCTTCCTTCCCTCCCTCCCTTCCTTCTTTCCGACCTTCCATCCTTCCTTCCTTGAGTCAAGGTCTCATTTGGCCTAGCTGGCTTTGAACTCCTGACCCTTCCCACCCCATGTAGCCTTGGTTATCTTGAAACTCACTCTGTAGACCAGACTGGCCTGGAACTCACAGAGCTCTGCCTGCCTCTGCCTCCTGAGTGCTGGGATTCTTTAATCCCATCTGCCACCACATCTTGTCTTTTTATTTTAATATGTATAGGTGTTTGCCTGCATGTGCATCCGCATACCACTTATATGTCCTGGTACCTGCGGAGGATAGAAGAGGGCATTGGTCACCTGGAACTGGACTTAAAGACTTTGTGAGCTGCCATGTGGGTGCTGGGAATTGAACCCAGGTCCTCTGGAAGAGTAGCCAGTGCTCTTAACTGCTGAGCCATCTCTCCAGCCCTCATACTTTCATTACTTACTAAAATATATATATATATATACTAAGCCTTTGGTGTATGCCAGGCACTGTGGCACTGTGTTGGTGTTGGATGCTGGGGATTTCTTTTTGTAGGTAGCATCTAAGTGCAGAGGAACTGGCCTTGAACTCACAATCTTGTACTTCAGCTGGCCGAGTACTAGGGTTATAGGGAGGTGCCACCATACAGGTGCCTGGGACTTTAAGAGCATGGAATAGTTCTGGGTTTTACTCACAATCTCAGGATAACAGAAATACCAAATTTCGAGGGACTCTTGGAAAAGCCAGGAGAGAGCAGAGAGAGGGATGGTTGCCTTGTCAGCAGAATCAGAGATAGCGTCCCAGAAGAGCTATGTACCGGCCTTGTGGGATAAGTTGGTGAACAAATCTGAGAGCATTCTAAGCGTGGGAACTGTGTGCACAGGCTACAGTCACAGGAACAGGGAGACTGGGCCCAGGTGAGACCTGTGCCGGTCATCTGGTTTGCACGTGACTGTTGTGGTGTGGACAGACCTACTGCAAAGGAGCAAAAGGCATGCGGGTAGCAGACGGTGGACCAGAGAGAGCCTGGGAGATAGACATGTTAATGGAAGAGCTGGGGAGAGGCCTCCGAGGCTGGTGCAGACGCAGGTGTGTATCTCCGTAGGTCGTTGTGCTATGGATCTGGGTACGAACTACCTTGGGACCGTGAGCGTCACCCACTCCGGTATCGAGTGCCAATTATGGCGGAGCCGCTATCCACACAAGCCTGAGTGAGTGCTGGGCAGGCCTGTCTACCAGCAGGCCAGGAGGGGGAGCAAAGACACTCTAGGGAGGCACAAGGTCCCTGAGCACCCTTCTCTTCCAGCATCAACTCCACCACCCATCCTGGGGCCAACCTGGAGGAGAATTTCTGCCGCAATCCAGATAGCAGCACCAAGGGACCCTGGTGCTACACCACAGACCCCACTGTGCGAAGAGAAGAATGCAGTGTTCCTGTCTGTGGTGAGCTGGGGCCCGGAAGCAGTTCATGGCCAAGGCCCAGGGGTCTTCAGAAGGCCTGGCCATCTTGAATGGCCATCACGATGCTGGCCACCTTCAGAGCAAGGGGGAGGAGCCACAAACCGAATGGGCCTGTTGGCCAGGGCACTGGGAGACCCTGGCAGGCTGCCTGTGACCTCCTTCCCAGTCTTGGTTCCTCATGCTCCAGGCTGTGGTTCATTTCAAACAACTCTTTGTATCCTGCCAAGGTGCTCTTCCTCCAGGAAGTCCTCCTGGATCACTTCAGTCACATGCTTTTTCCAAACATCACAGAATAAGCACATGGGGTTCTTCCTGGTGACTGCTGTGATAAGTTCCCATTACCTAGCCCCACAACAATGCTGCAGAACCAACACCCTTCCCCGAGGGGCAGGCCACAGCAAGTGTTTATTTCTTACACCATGGAGGCATGGCTAGGATGCTCTGAACTGCACTCGCTGGGTGTGTGACCGGGCTGGGGAGACAGGGTTCTATCCATGTATGCTGGGCCTGCCTGAGTGGGTGTGCTAGGAGTGATGGGTCCAGCTGAACCCGATTCCTTGCTTTACTTGTGCTCATGCTGGGCCTGAACAGTTCCTTGAGGAAGTTCCTCCCCCATGACGACGACGTCAGAAGTGTAGAACAGTGAACAGCAGTGCTGTTTGAAGGCCTGTTCAGAGCTGGTAGCCAGTCCTGCCCGCATGCCCTTGGGAGGACTGGCGTGTCCACAGACCATCAGTCCTATGTTCCATACAACCAAGGCCAAAGTCAGGAAGTGAAGCACTGTCCGACAGAAAACCACAGAGTAAAGAACAGGGATGTAGGCAGGGTGGTGAATTCATACCATGGGCTGGGGATGTGGTTTAGTAGTTGAGAGTTTGGCTCGGGTGCACAAGGCCCCAGGTTCAAAACTCCTACCCCCAAAAAACAAGGGCTGGCTTGGCAGCGCAGACCCATGATCCCAACCCCTGGAGATGCTGAGGCAAGAGGACCGAAGGATCGAAAGTTCAAGCCCTGGGTTGGAGACATGACTCAGCAGTTAAGAGTATTAGCTTCTCTTGCACAGACCAGAACTCAGTTCCCAGCATCCATGTTGGGTGGTTCATAACTATTTGTAACTCCAGCTCCAGGGGATCCAACACTCTCTTTTGGCCTCCACAAGCACCTGCATATGTGCACACACACACACACACACACATACACACACACACAGAGACAGAGAGAGAGAGAGAGAGAGAGAGAGAGAGAGAGAGAGCAAGAGACGTGAATAAAAATGAAAAAGAGAAATCTTTGTTTAAAAGTTTAAGACCTAGGGTTGGGGATTTAACTCAGTGGTAGAGCGCTTGCCTAGCAAATGCAAGGCCCTGGGTTCGGTCCTCAGCTCCGAAAAAAAAAAAAAAATCAAGACCTGTTTAGACAACAGTGAGTTCAAGGCCAGCCGAAGCAACTTAGTGAGACCCTGTCTCACAATGAAGAGAAAACGGAGGGTTGGCCGTTTTATAACTCAGTGGTAGAGACCATCTCTTCCCTAGCGGCAGGCCAGGCAGCTACTCTGTCAGCTACGTTCCACCCGAGACAGGTCTTCAGGCAAATCACCAATGATTTTTAAATGATGTTAACAGCTGCCTAGACTGCACCCTCTACCCGTTTGTGGGACATATACTGCCAGCACACTGAAACTGAGCTGTCCACACAGACATGTCCAACAGTCTTTCTGCTGTGTCCAATTACAACACAGAACCTTAGTCTGGTGTGGTGGCGCACACCTTTAATCCCAGCACTTGGGAGGCAGAGGCAGGCGGAGCTCTGAGTTTGAGGCCAGCCTGGTCTACTGAAAGGGTTCGAGGAGTGCTGGGGTGAAGGCGTGGGCCATCACGCCCAGCTCGTGCTGTGTATTTTACATTCTCTGCTGTCGGGGAAGGTAGGCACGCGTGACCCATTTGAAGGGAGGTGGCTGAGGCTGGGGGTGTTTAAGCTGTCTGGAGTCACACAGATGGAATCCACCAGGACAGGGATTCAAATTTCCCTTGTGTCTGTGTGGGGTCCCCCCAACTTTGGCTTCTGCGTCCTTCCACACCAGGCCAGAAGGACCGTACCACTGTGGAGATGACTCCTCGCTCTGGAGGTTCCAAGGGGAATCTGTCACCTCCACTGGAGCAGTGCGTCCCAGAGCGCGGCCGCCTGTACCAGGGGAACCTGGCTGTGACGACACTTGGGTCCCCCTGCCTGGCCTGGGCCAGCTCGCCAGCCAAGGCCCTGAGCAAGTACCAGGACTTCGCCCCGGAGGTGAAACTCGTGGAAAACTTCTGCCGCAACCCAGATGGTGATGAGGAGGGCGTGTGGTGCTATGTTGCCGGGCAGCCTGGTGACTTCGAGTACTGCAACCTCAACTACTGCGGTGAGCAGAGCTCAGGGGCAGAGGACAAGTGGGTTCAGTACAGCCTTCCCGAAACCTGGCTAGGGGTGGGTCCTATTCTCATTTCATGGATGAGTAAATGGAGTCCTGAGAGGTTGTTGCCTGGTCGTGGAGGAGTACCTAGGCTCTTAAGCTCGGAGTCAAACGCCCTCCAAGGCCTGCAGGGGCTTGGGAAGGTCTAAGGTCCCAACCCTTTACAGAGGAGGCGGTGGAAGAGGAGAGTCAGGATGTGGAGGAGACCATCGGGGGGCGCACCACCGACGGGGAGTTCCACACCTTCTTCGATGAGAAGACCTTCGGCATGGGGGAGGCAGGTGAGGCACCCGCGTGTCCGTGGGACGCGGGGCTGGAGGGCAGGACGGGTCCCTCACCATCGGTCTTACTCTGCAGACTGTGGCCTGCGGCCTCTGTTCGAGAAGAAGTCGCGAAAAGACGAAACGGAAAAGGAGCTTCTTGACTCTTACATGGAGGGGCGCATCGTGGAGGGCTGGGACGCTGAGATGGGTATCGCCCCCTGGTGCGTCCTGGACTGATCTGCAGGCCCGTGGAAGTCCTGTCCACCCATAGCCGCTGCAGGACCTTGCTCTTACAAGCTCTGGTTCCACACCTTCTAGCACCTTCTACTGATCCCCAGAGCAACCTCAGCCGACTGGCTTGACCATGTCTCTCTCCTAAGTAGATGGTGGAGCAGAGGCCTTGCGGGCTTCAGTGACTCATCCCAGGCAACAGTACTTGTATCCAAATTCTTCTGACTCCAGAGCTGTGCTAAACGGTGTGAAGTCGGCACTTGCAGAGCTCTGGTCCCCCAGGACAGCCAAATCAATCTGACCTGGAGGCAGCCCCATCCCACTCTCTCAAAATCTTTCTTTTCTCTTTGTTTGGGTGGGCGGCCGGGTCTCTTGTACCAGAGGCTGACCTTGAACTTCTGATCCTCCTTGTTTCCACTTCCCAAGTGCTAGGGTTACAGACCTGTGCCATCATCCCAGCCCAGTAGCTTTTAATCCAGATTCTTTTTCCACTTTTTTTTTTTTTCTTCTTTTTTTTCTTTTTCCACTTCTAGGGCTGCTGAAGGACCAGGTCCCAGCCCCGAATGCATTCTGCTTCCCTTTTAGGCAGGTGATGCTCTTCCGGAAGAGTCCCCAAGAGCTGCTGTGTGGGGCCAGCCTCATCAGTGACCGGTGGGTCCTCACTGCCGCCCACTGCCTTCTGTACCCACCCTGGGACAAGAACTTCACTGAGAACGACCTTCTGGTACGCATTGGCAAGCATTCCCGCACCAGGTATGAAGTTGGTGGCTGATGGTGACTAGCTGCGACCTGAGGGCCCATTAGGCGAGATGTGGCCTTTTATCTCCCACTGTATGACCTCTCAGCATCCCCACTGGGAAAGCCCATTTGGCCATGTCCTGACCCACTCCAGACACCAGAACATGGTCCAGGTGGGAGTCACTTTAAATTGTGACTCTTTGAATAGTACGTGTGGCCTGTGCCCATCTACATCTGCTGGCCTCTGTGGCTCAAGAGCCCTTTGTGGATATTGGACTGGCAGAAAGCTGCCAGCGAAAGATGTAGTGGCTCAGTGGTCATCCGCCTCCCAGACTCTGAGGGCAGACTGTGACCTTCCTCAATGAGCTGAGTATTCTTACTGGCGGGCCTACAGCTCTTGGCTTTTTTGTTGGGGTCTGCACAGGTATGAGCGGAACATTGAAAAGATCTCCATGCTGGAAAAGATCTACATTCACCCCAGATACAACTGGCGAGAGAACCTGGACCGTGACATTGCCCTGCTCAAGCTCAAGAAGCCTGTGCCCTTTAGTGACTATATTCACCCCGTGTGCCTGCCGGACAAGCAGACAGCAGCCAGGTCAGCGCCAGGGCCTCTGTGTGATTTGGCCTGGGTTCTGGACCTTAGGGCCTGGCACACGTTTGCAGGTGGCAGTTTCATGGTCGGAATGTGAAAGTCCTTTCCCCTGCTAGGTGTTGGTCTCTGGGAAATAGAGTTGGTCATCAGGAGGCTTCTAGATGTTGTCAGGGACAGTTCTCATTGGGTTCCTCTCTTTCCCTAAAGCTTGCTCCAGGCTGGGTATAAAGGGAGGGTGACAGGCTGGGGCAACCTTCGGGAGACATGGACCACCAGCATCAGCGAGATACAGCCCAGCGTCCTGCAGGTGGTGAACCTGCCCATTGTAGAGCGGCCGGTGTGCAAGGCCTCCACCCGGATACGCATCACTGACAACATGTTCTGTGCTGGTAAGCTGTATGTCTTGGGCCAGGGGTTGGTAGACTTGGGATGTGGTACGGACACATACGTGGGCACTACCAAGTCAGATGACTCCAGGCACGTGGCTGAACCTTTTGATGACAAAAGGAAGGTCAAAGTTTCCATGCTGTGAGGTGTGAGGTTAGAGAGAGTGTGTTTGGCTTGTGGCCATTAATTCCTGCTCAGTATATGCAGCTCAGCGGAGATCCTGGGTAGGGAAAGGGCATTTATTCAGCCACTCAACATATATTTCTTGAATGCCTATTGTGTGCAAGGCAGCACTAAAGGTACACAGCAGAGACCCAAATAGGTGGTCCTATAATATTAATCCCCACTCTTGTCTTTTCTAAGGTTTTGTGTGTGTGTGTGTGTGTGTGTGTGTGTGTGTGTGGGTGTGTGTGTGTGTGTGAGAGAGAGAGAGAGAGAGAGAGAGAGAGAGAGAGAGAGAGAATGAAATATGTATATTAGTGTGGGTTTACACATGTATGTGAATTTGTGTGGGACACACTGGTTGAAACTGGGTGTCTTACTCAGTCACTCTTCACGCTTGTTTGTTTGTTTATTTATTGAGTCTCACTATGCAGTGTTGGCTGACCCGGCAGCTGCTAACTTGCTATGTAGTTCAGGCTGGCATCAGACTCAGAAATTTGTCTGTGCCTGTATTAAAGCCATGCATAGCTCTGAGTTGTTTAGTAGAGTTTTAAAGATTTATTTATTATGTATGCAGTGTTCTGTCTGCGCGTACGCCTGCACGCCAGAACAACTCACCACATCTCATTACAGATGGTTGTGAGCCACCATGTGGGTGCTGGGAATTGAACTCAGAACGTCTGGAAGAGCAGCCAGTGCTCTTAACCTCTGAGCCATCTCTCCAGCCCTGTTTAGTAGATATTTAACAAAACAAAAAACCCTTATTTTTCTGAGATATGGTTTTATTATGTAGCTTAGATTGGTCCACTGTTCACAGTATCCCTGCCCCAGCCTCCTAAGTACACCACTATACTTGGCTTACTTTTTCTTTTAGAACTTTTATTATTACTGTGTCACTGCACTGTGAACCCAGGGCTTTGAGCTGGGCACCTGCTCCACCACTAAACTACACTCCAGCTAATAGTCTGAAGACTTTGGGTTTAAGGTTTCTTTGTAGTTGGTATATTAAAAATTATGAGCCGGGCGGTGGTGGCGCACGCCTTTAATCCCAGCACTCGGGAGGCAGAGCCAGGTGGATCTCTGTGAGTTCAAGGCCAGCCTGGGCTACCAAGTGAGTCCCAGGAAAGGCGCAAAGCTACACAGAGAAACCCTGTCTCGAAAAACCAAAAAAAAAAAAAAAAAAAAAAAAAAAAAAAATTATGAGTTTTGTTGCATTGTGAAGATTATAATATTCCTACTTTATGGAATTGTTTTTTTAAAACTAGTATTCTGTAATCATTGTGTTTCATTTCCTGTGTTATTTTCCATATGTGATCTTTGCTTTAAAAGTTGTGTATTTAGACAGGTGGTGGTGGTGTGTGCCTTTTTTTTTTTTTTCTCGAGACAGGGTTTCTCTGTGTAGCTTTGGTGCCTGTCCTGGATCTCACTCTGTAGACCAGGCTGGCCTCGAATTCATAAAGATCCCCCTGGCTCTGCCTTCTGAGTGCTGGGGTTAAAGGCGTACGCCACCACCTGGCGGCTCAAGCTAACTATCCCATTTCAGCTGGGCGGTAGTGGTGCATGCCTTTAATTCCAGCACTCAGGAAGCAGAGCCAGGCAAATCTCTGTGAGTTCGAGGCCAGCCTGGTCTACAGAGCGAGATCCAGGACAGGCACCAAAACTACACAGAGAGACCCTGTCTCGAAAAAACAAAAACAAACAAAAAACAAAAAAAAGTTGTGTACTTAGGAGTTTGCATTTTGCTTTAGTGCCTATTTTATCTTTGGGTTTATACTTTTTCAAGATGCCAATGCCTTCCTTCCTTCTTCCTTCTCATTACTATCTTTTTTTTTTTTTTTTTTTTTTTTTTGAGACAGGGTCTTTCATGTGACCCAGGCTAGCCTTCAATTCACTGTGTAGTAATGACCTTGAACTTGTTGCTCCTGCCTCCCCCAATGCTAGGACTACAGGCATGTGTCATCATGCCCAGTTTAGTTCATGTGGTGCTGGGGATCCTAATGGCTTCATGCATGCTGCAGAAGTACTCTACCACACTGTATAGTGCAGGCTTATCATGAATTTGTAATACTTCCGCCTCAGCCTCCTGACTACAGGTGGGCACAACCATACTCAGTCATTTTAACCACATATTTTTCACTCCCCACCCCCCCCTTTTTTTTTTTTTTTTTTGTCTTTTGAGACAGTCTCATGAACCCAGGCCAGCCTCAAACTCACTAAGAGGTGGGGGCTAATTTTAAATGAATCCTCCTGCCTCTTACCTTTTGTTGATTTTCCAAGCACATACCATGACATCTGATTTTTCTCATTTACTTTTAATTTTTAGGTTTGAGTCCAAGTTTTTGGGTCCCCTCCCCCATATGCTTGGATCTGCTTGAGGATTTCACTTTGTTTTTTGAGAGTTTCTCTGTATAATCACTGTCCTCCAGGCTGTCCTCTGTACTCTGTATGTACTCCCTCTGTGTAGCCCTGGCTGTCCTGGACCTCAATCTGTAGACAAGGCTGGCCTCAAACTCAGAGATCTGCCTGCTTTTGCCTCCTTTTGGGATTACAGAGTGCACCACCACCGCCTGACTCTTGAGGTTATTTCATTCAGATAAGTTTTGTCGTTGATTGAAGATATCTTACTAGCTAAGGTCTTTTGTTTTCCTAAAGTATCTTTCTATGGGTCTGCTAAGTTTCCATGTGTTTGTGCATAGGAGTTCTGAGATTCCTAATTTGATTCTGATTGTTTCTATTGAAAGATCTTTCCATCCTCACTCTACATGTGTTTTAGATTATATATACAAATCAGTACACTAAATTGAGGTTATTTCTGTAGTCATTTATTTAAAGTACAGGGGTACAGGAGAGGGCTATCTGTGACTTGGTCACAGTGGAATGGTGAGAAGTTGCTGGAGTTGGGACAGCCTTGGCAGTTAGAGCCAAATTTGCTAAAGGATTAGATACCTGGGACAAAGGATTAGATACCTGGGACAAGGAAATGTGATCAAGATAGACATCTTGGGGTCAAGTGGGTGTTATTGGGCGGTAGTTCCTTAAGGGAAGTGACTCCTGAACTCTGCTGTTCTTTCTCAAGGTTTCAAGGCAAATGACACCAAGAGAGGCGATGCTTGTGAAGGCGACAGTGGGGGACCTTTTGTCATGAAAGTAAGCTTCTCTAAAGGCCAGGGGCTGGTGGGTAATTCTCCAGTGCTAGGGAAGGTTGGGGGCTAGGAACTTGTTTTCAGGATCAGCTTGGACCTGACTATTGGAATCCCCACTTTCTTCCTCAGAGTCCCTATAACAACCGTTGGTATCAAATGGGCATTGTCTCATGGGGTGAAGGTTGTGACCGGAATGGGAAATACGGCTTCTACACACACGTGTTCCGCCTGAAAAAGTGGATACTGAAAGTCATTGAACGATTTGGATAGATAAGGGGGCATCCATGATATGGGATCCTCATTGCAAAATCACAGAAACCAGTCCAAATATTTTTGTGGTTTGTTTATGTTCTCAATAAAAGTGACTGTTAGTTAAGTCTCTGTGTGCCCAGTGCTGTTGATGGGCTACTCTCTGGACTGGGCTCTGGAAGAGGCAGTAATGCTGCTGGACAGATGGAGCTGCAACTATTATATACGCATACATAAGATTCATTAGAGTGGTGTACAGGCTGTGATCTGGTTAGTTCAACAATGGCTCTCTCTGAACAGAAAAGCCAAGAATCCAGTAGTTGTAAACACCCTGGGGTGGATGTCTCAGATGGTCGTCATTCTACTTTGGAATCTTTAGGAGGTTCTGACTCCAGTGAAGGAATGCCTCAGGATAGATCAACGACCTTGCCAGAGAAAAGTGAGGCCAAGTAGGCAAAAAGCAAAAACTTCCTTCTTCCAGGTCCTTTTATGCAGGCTGGACCAAAGGTATGGCTCAGATTTAGGGTGGACTTGCCCATTTCAAATGATCCAATCAATTAAATTTCTCTTCCAGGACATCTAGGGCTACACAAAGAAACCCTGTTTCAAACCACCCTGCCCGTGTCTCCCCCCCCCCCCCCCAAAAAAAAGAAAAAGTTCTCACAGGCGTACCCATCTACTTGTGTTTTAGTTGACTCCAGATGACAAGCAAGATTTTAGTCATCACATCCTGTGTCCTTCATCATCAAAATGGAACACATGTGCCCCCAAGAGGCTCAATGTTTACAGCCCCTTTGAGATTATAGTTCGATGGTGGATGGGCACATAGGCTGCTCACATGACCTCTGAGTTGTTGTCTTCAATCTTCATGTATGCATAAGTGTTGTTTGAGACCAGGTCTTACTATGTAGCTCTGACTCTCCTGGAACTCACTATGTAGACCAGACTGGCCTTGAATGCAGAGATCTGCCTGCCTTTACTTCTCCAGTAACACAAATTTATAAGGATTAAGTGATTTTTGTTGTGTACTGAGAACAACTGGACTGGCATCCTGTCTGTCATGTTTAAAGTTCCTTTTCTGGTCACCTCCTCCCTCCTTTGGCCCCCACAAAGCACATAATGATGTGTGTGTGTGTTAGGGAGAGGGAGTTTTTCCCAGGTCTCTCCTTACACAGCACTTACCAGATTAGAGCAATTTGTAGTAAAGAGGGGTAAAAGATATTTAAGTAAGTAAACTTTGAATAAATTTAAAAGTCTTAAAATTGTGAAGATGTCCTGCCACAGTACATCATTTAATGGGTCGCTGGTTAATGGGACATTTTCGGGTAAGTGGGCACTACCGCCTCTAACATGTGATGTGAAATTGCTTGACACTGCAGAACTGTGTTGAGAAGATGCATTCCCTGAGCTCCAAGGCAAGACTGAAGACTGAAGGTCTGTCTGCTTTAGGTGTTAAGACAGGAGTAGGGCATGGGGTCATGCGCCTACCATTGTCAGCTTTGGTCAACGAATACACATGGTGTGAAGTGGGAGGGCTAGGGATGGTGACAGAGGCAGGTGGATCCCTGTGAGTTCGGGGCCAGCCTGGCTTATATAGTACCATGTTTCAGTCAGCCAGGGCTACATGGTGAGACCCTGTCTTGACAAATAAACAACAACAAAAACCAAAAGGTGGAAGGACCCTCAGCCCCTCTCCCTTCTCTGTCTGCTGAGTCTCCTTGTATAGTTTAGGCTAGTCTCCAACTTGAGATCCTCTTTTATCAGCCTGCCAAATGCTAGGATTAGGATTATAGGCATTTGCCTCCACTGTATTGGCTTTTCATATTTGATGCATAAGAGAACAGAGAATTAAGAAAGAGTTTCTTGTTTATTCTGTGGTTCTGGTTGACTTGAAAGCTGGACAAAAATTGCCCCAAGTTCTCAGTGATATTGGACTTTAGGGGGAAAGCATTAAGAATGATTGTAGTTTGACTTGGTGGTGCATACCTTTAATACTAGCACTGGAGAGGCAGAGACAGGTAGATCTCCAGGCCAGCCAGGACTCCATAGTGAGACCTTGCTTCAAAATAAATCAAGAATGCACTGTAATACTCAGAGCACACTCAACATCACTATCGGGGTTATCAACTTCGAGCACTTTGGAGGATGTCCTCCTACAGCAGCAGATCCCACCTTCCCTGCTGTGAACACTTACCACTCCATGCTCCCCCTATGAAGAAGCAAGTTTAACGTCAGGCAGCCTTGCGCTCACAGGACACTGGAGACTGGAACCAACAGAGGGTTCACTTGATGGAAAATCAAGATTCATTTTCCTTCCATCTTTCGTTGTGTGGAATGCCAGGTGAGTAGAAGGTGGACTGAGTTGTCCTGGAGCTTGCCTGGAGTCTCCCCCAGAACCCAGAACTTAGTCCTGAAGTAGTTTTCTAACTATGGAAGAAGATCCTGTGGGATTTATTCTGGAAGCAAATCTTCAGTTCACATTTTGTTCTCACTCAACCCAAGTATGAAGCAATTAGTCTGGACTGAAAGCAGCTCAGATATTCAGGGAGGAAAAGAACAAGCCGTCCAGATCCACAAGTGAACCCAATTCACTTTGTGTGGGAACTGCAGGCTCAAGTCACACCTTGAAAACAATCTCATGTCATTTGTGCAGCAAAGTAGTAGGACATTAAATGTTCCTCCACCAACTGGAAATGACCAAGATGGTCATGAACCAAGACCTCCAAACAAGGAGGGACAAGCTTTCTCTGCTCCTTGGGTCTGCATGTGGCCGGCAGGCCAGGAGACGTCCCCTGTTCCAATGGAGCTACAGCCCCAGTCCATGAGTTAAGACAAAGTAGACCTCCGCAGGCCATAACAAACCCTCCTCTACCTGGGTCAATACCCAGCTTTCCTTAAACAGGTGACAGAAACAGTTGTCCAGCACTCCCAGACACGGAGCATCTTAGGAAATGGGTATAGTTAATGCAAACTTTATTTATAAAAGACTCTTAAATTAGTTGTCTCATGCCATGCATTCATACAGAATACAGTGTCCCTTCAGGGCTACAGGAGAAGAGCTCACAACTCAGAAGGAACTATTAAAAGAGTTTCTAATGGCTGAAAGCTAGGAAAAAATTAGGACAATTTTACAAATGAGCCAACAAAACAAAACAGACATGGAGCCTAGTCTGCGCTGAGGGAGCAGCTGTTTCGAAGTCTGTACACTAACCTAACCCAGCCAGTCTTCTAGAAGCAGCACCGACAGGAGAAACAGAGCCTGTGCAGACGTGTACCACACTGCTCTTCCCCATCTGCTGTCTGATACATACAACCAGTTTGTGGACAGGAGGCCTGCAGTGGCCACTTCACACTACAGGATTTCTAGATTAGTAAACTAAAGCTGCAGAGTGCTTGCTGAGGGATGGGCAGCTTCATTTACGACTGCTCTTTATTCTCTCCAGTCTCTTTTTCAAGTCATCAATGTTAGTTGTGGAGGAGGAGGAGGTCATGGTTCCTGCAGAGTGGGTCTGGTTGGAATCCAGGTCTGAGTGCTGGTGCTGTTCGCGGGACTCCCGCAGCTGTGAGAGCTTGCTGTGGAGCATGTCTGTGGAAGAGGCAACTGGAGGAATTGCTGGTTTGGAGAGCAAAGAGGTCAGTGGAGGCCGGTCATCTTGCTATTGAGAGAAGACAGAGAGACACTACCTCAGTTCAGGGGAAGCAGTCAAGATGCAACTCTGCCCCAGTGTATACAAGGTCAAGCTACTTTGCTGTGGGCCAGCCTGTCCCTGACCTGCTCTCCATCCCCACAGAAAGAAAGGAGCAGTACCTTTGTGTTGTCAAGACCACACCGTTGTCGGAGAATTTTTAGCCTTTCCAGGTAGACGGATGGTCCCACTTCTTCTCCATTTGTGTTCCCTATAGAGGACACTGTGCTTGTGGGGGTGGGCACACATGTGACCTCCATCTGAGGGGAGATGCCTGGAGAGAAAAATGAAGGAAGCACATGTGGATATCCACACATCCCAACTTCCAGACTGCAATGGCCAATCTGCTACTAAAGACAACCACTAATTTCTAGGGCTCAGTGGCACAGCATATGTTTAGTATACACAAGTCCCTAGCAACAACCAAACAAATTTTAAGGTCCTGAATGTCTTCACTCTACTTGAAAACTAAAAAATCCACAAGGATTACCTGGGATTAGTGATACAGGCTGGTCTCAAATACACAACCTAAACTTTGTTAGAACTTCAAGAATTGATATAAAAGGGCTGTGATGAAACCTTGGTTATGTGAAGGGTTGTATACCAAGAATCACAGGGCTGACATGGGCAATTAGAAATCCCTAAGATACTTCTAAGTATATAATGAGTACCCAACTAAAAAATGAGCATTATGTTTGGGTTGGATGATACAACAGAGGAAGATTTTTCAAATCTATAGAGACCAACAAGGAGCTCAAAGGATAGGTACTACCCACTGAGATTCTTTGAGAAGAACAACAATTCATCTCAGTTCCTACATTTCTAACAGGGAACAGTCATAAAATACAACATTTAAAAGACCTAATTTAGCCGGGGTGGCGGTGGCGCACGCCTTTAATCCCAGCACTCAGGAGGCAGAGCCAGGTGGATGATCTCTGTGAGTTCGAGGCCAGCCTGGTCTACAGAGAGAAATCCAGGACGGGCACTAAAACTACATGGAGAAGCCCTGTCAAGAAAAACCAAACCAAACCAAATCAAACCAACAACAACCAAACAAACAAACAAACAAAACCCCCTAACATACATGGCTGGGGAGATGGCTCAGTGGAAAAAGTGCTTGACATGTAAATATGAAGACTGGAGTCTGAATCACCAGAACTCAAATAAATGCTGGTGGCATAGTGCCCACTTGAAACTCAACATGCAGGAGGCTGAGATAGGAGATTCCTGGAGCAAGCTGGCTAGATAGAATAGCTGAATCGGTGAGCTCTAAGTTCAAGTAAGAGGCCCTGATTCAATTTATAGAATGGAAAACAATGAGCAGCAGAAGACATTCAACATCATTCCTGGGATTCCACAACTCCTGCTTCAGAACACATGCTCACACACATATAGACAGGCATACACATGCAAACTAACAGAAAAACACAAACAAATCTAACCTGGGGCTGGGATATGGCTTAGTGCTAGAGACAAGAGTGTTTGTCTCAGAGAAATGGCTCAGCCATTAAGAGCACTGACTGCTCTTCTAGAGGACCCAAGTTTGAATCCCAGCACCCACCTACTGGCAGTTCACAATGTAACTCCAGTTCCAGAGTATTTGATGCCTGTCCTTTTCTGGCCTCTGAGGGCACTGCACCCATGTGGGTGCACAGACATACAGACTACAAAATAAAAATCAACCTTTAAAAAAGAAGTGCTTGTGTCACATTCATATGGTCCCTAGCACCATAAAAGCAGAGCAAACTGGCAAAAACTTGTAGAAAATGTGCTGCTTAGGATACAAGTATCACCCAAATGTTGAACATCACCAGAAAAAACTTTAGAAATAGGAAAAGGAGGCCAGGCAAACATTGGTCTACTCTTACCTGATGTTCTGTTTGCCACCTTTGCAGAAGGACTTTAAACCAGATGGAGAGTGGTAATTTATGGTGTCAAACCCACTGGCTGGGAAAGCAGTGTCACTGAGAGCTTGAGCGAGACAGACGCAGAGAGAACCTAAACTACACACAGTGCACACTTTTGACAGGCACCAAACTCTATAATAATGAATGAAATATGTGGAAAGCTTCACTGAACTTTGAAAAAGTAAACATAGGCACCTTTTCACAATTTTGTAGCTGGGTCTGTCTTTGGTTTAAAGCTGTGATCAATATTCTTTTTAAACTAAAACCTCGTATCTTCCTTTTGTCTCTAGATTCTGTAAGTGGTAATTTTCAGAGTGGTCTTTTTGGGACAGTAATATTTCAGCCTTAATTTAGGATATGCATTCATTCTAACCATCCCTAAAATAACTGCAGAATACCAACTTTGTTGTTCTAGACAACAAAACAGATAAAAACCTTCTCAAGCAGATCTTTTCTTTCTTTCCTTCTTTCTGATAGCTCTCATGTAACTCAGGATGGCCTCTATGTAACCAAGGATGACCAGTAACTTCTGATCCTCCTGGATTATAGGCATGTATTACCATGTCCAGTTAATGGGTGCTGGAGATTGAACCCAATTCTTTGTGCATGCTAGGCAAGCACTCTACAAACTGAACTACATCTTCAGTATCTCCTCTGTGGATTTTAAATATTAGCT